AAATGTCCCCCTCGATACCTACCACTGTCATAACCACAAGTTGCTCTGGACCTATAATTAATGAAATAACATACACCAGGAATACTGGTAAATATATAAATTTGTGGACTGTATATTAAAAATAATAAATGGTTATATATATACACAATTACATAACAGAAGGAAAATATATCTTAATATCACTCACCAATTTGACTGGATATTAAGTTGTATCATACTCAGAAAAACCTCACTAACTAAATTTATGAAAACACTGGCCAGAATTATACACAAATCTAGAGAGCTTATCTGAGGTTCCTGGAGCTGTCTTGTCCAGTCGTCTGATATCTCAAGTTATGCAGGAATGCATGTCCAACAATTTCGCCTCCTATTTGAGATGTGTCAGCCCAATTTCAACCTCTAGAGCACGAAAATTCCTTCCCATCACACCAACGTTGTACACAATTCAAAACCAAGATGGCGAGTCTCCTCTGCGCAGACGTAGGCTTTCCGTTTTCTATGACATAAATATTATTAACCCTTTGACTGTCGCAACCCCCAATCCTGAGGTGTCTCCTGGTGTCGCAAAATTTAAAAAAAAAAAAAAATATTTTTTCTTATGAAATGATAGAGAATCTTTTCCCGATTGTAATGGCACCAAAAAAAACGAAATTTGATGGAAAACTGACAGAATTACGCTCTCGCGAAGTTAGCGACCTCGGCGCTGTTTACAAATTGGCGATTTGCCCACTTTGAGCCCTATTTTCGGCTAATTCCATTGTTCCAGTCGCCCAAACTCATAGCTATTTCTTTAGAACTCCATTTTTTCTATCGATTGAGTACAAGAAACTGCCTATTTACCGATTTCAACTACCTAATAATGTGGTCAGAAATTTGCAATTTGGCCAATTTCACGAAAACTAAAAAATATGACATTTTCAAAATAAGGTCCAGAATGAACAATGCAGACATTCCTGGCTCTAAAATAACATTTTCTTTGTTCATTAGTCACATCTCCAGGCCCCTCTGATATTACTCTTGCTTTCTATTTTGAATTTTTATTCAAACAAAAAGTAGAAGATTTACTATTATGCAGACTACTGCAATACTGTAATAATTGTATAAATAACATCAACCCATTCATGACTGCATATTAGAATGGCTAGTTGGACATTTATTGGACAATGGCATCATTTGTTTACTTTTGAACATTGGCAAAAATCAAACATTTCCCCTACTTTGAGCTCCATTTCTAGTTTTTTTTATAGTAAAATCAATCAAAATCACCTCTATTTCTATAATATGTTTTCCATTCTATCAAATGAGACCAAGAAAACGAGAATACAACCATAAATACTATACGAAAATAGACCACAAAGTCGGCATTTTTTTTTCTCATTATGCACTGTGTGCTCCAGGATTTTTTTTATATGGTGCACACTGACCACACAGACCCATTCTCTCACATGTGGGCCTACCAGCTTTCTCCTGCTTGATTTGAAGCCGCTAGAATTTATGAGTACATATACGTCAAACACGGTACCTCGTAAGACATATATATACGGCCGCGACAGTCAAAGGGTTAAATACAGTATGGCCATCTATTTACATATAAATACTGAATTTCTGGAAAATATATACAGTATTTTCCACACCTTATATGTACATTGAATTTACAAATGCAGTATGTACATGTATTCTAACATACTGAAAACCTCAAAGGTTTGCAAAGTTGATAAAACACTGGAACAGGGAGTCACAAGGGTCATGTGGTATCACTGTACACAAGCAGGAACAAGTGTAATAGTCTTTGAGAGGAAACTGGATCACTACCTTCATCAAGTGCCAGATCAGTCTGACTGTGAAGAATATATGGGCCAGCGAGCTGCTAACAACAACAGGTTGATTGATCAGGCAAAGCCCAGAAAAGCCTGGCCAAAGGCTGGGCTGTGAGGTTAGGAAGCCTCTAGAAACTGCTCACAGATATATTACAGGTATGAGTCACAACATTTCTAGTTAGAAACTTTTTATGCATGATGGTGATATAAAAGATTGCTCCCAGGAGTCTTCCCTCAGCCACCATTCTTGGTTCACTACCATTTACCTTGTAAGTACCAAATTTTAAAAAAAAAGTGAAAAAAATATTGAGAAAAAGAAGGAAAGTTGAAAGGGGGAAAACAATGAAAAAACGGGAAAGGGGGGAAAAATTTATCCAAATTTGAAAAAATGGGTTTTGGGGGAAAAAACTTTTTAAAAACCTAAAAAAAGGGTTTTATTTAAAAATGAGAAGAAAAAATAATTTAATATTGGGAAATAAAGGGGTTTTTTTAAAATTTTTTTGAAAAAAAGGGCTTGGATTTTTTATGGGCAATGAAAAAAACTTTTTCGTGGGAAGCCCCGTTGTGAGGGGGGGAAATTTGACATAAAAATAAAAGGGGGTAAGACCGGATTTGGGTGAAGAAATTTTAAAAAAAGAGGGGGATTGTTTTTATGGTTGAAAAAATAATTTAATAAGGTCCCGGGGTTCAAGAGAGCTGTTTTTAAAAGGAAAAAATAAAAAAGTGAAAAAAAGGGGAAACGGAGTCCAAGGGGTTATGTGGTTTAATGAAAAAAAGAGAAAGGGAAAAAGTGAAGAAAGGGACTTTAAAGGTGGGGGTGTGGGGGAAGTTTAAAAGGGTGAAACTTAAAACAGATTTTAGATAAGGCAAAGGGGGTTTTGGAAATTTTGGGTTGGAAAAAGGCTAAAAGGGGTAAAGGGGGGGAAATTTTCGGGTTTTTGGAAAAATTAGGTTGGGATTATCTAAAAGATAAAGTTTTTCGGGATTTAAAGAAGTTTGGAAAGAAAATTTTTCCCCATAAAATAGGTTAAAAAGGGTGGATGAGTGGTTTTTTAAAAAAATTTTATAATTTGTAAAGAGAAATGGGGGGGTTGGCAAGGGGCGGGGTTTAAAAATAAAGCCCAAAAACACAAAAGGGGAGGTCCAGGTCTTTCATAATTTCCGGAGTTTGAAAGAATTAAAATTTTAGAATTTTGGGGTTTTAAAAGAAAAAAAAGGGGGAATACGAAATAATTTTTAATAAAAAAAGATTGGGTTAAAAGTTAATTAAATTAAAAAGGTAGGGGGATGGTTTTAAATTTTGGGGGGGAGGTACGGGGGGGCTTTGAAAAGGTAAAATCAAATTGATAAAAAAAAAGTTACTTAGGATTTTGGAACAAAGAATTTTTTAACGGGGGGGTGTAAATTATTTTAAAAAAACCCATTTGGGTTAAAGGGGGGGTTTTTGAAGTTGGCAAAGGGGGGAACATTTTAATTCATTTTCTAAAAAGTTTGGTTTTAAAAAAGGGAAAAGGAATTTTTGAAGGGGGGGAGGTTTTTAAAAATGTTTAAAGGGGGTAAATTTTTAAGGGTGGTTCGGAAATTAAAAAATGAAAAAGTTTACTTCAGGTTTAATCGTATGGAAAAAGGCGGGGGGGGTTCGGGCCAAAATTAAGGGGGGAAAGGGGATTTTGGGTTGGAAAGGGGTTTAACTTGCACATAAGCTGTTATAAATGTAACAAATTTTTTTAATCTTAGTCTTGGAGGTACAAAAAACCCATTTTTAAGGGGATCAAAAACCCAGGGGACTTGAGTCGGGAAGGGGGGAAAATCCGACTCTGGGGGGGGGGTTTTTTGTTGCATTAAAAAATGTATTTAAAAACCCCCCCCGGGAAACCCCATGGGAGTAAATTAAAAAAGTTTTTTTTTCCCCATGTTTTGGGGTCCCCCTTTAAATAAATTAAAAAAAGGGGTATTAGTCTCACGCCATTGGGGGGCACTTTTCCCTCTGTAAAAATTTTGGGGAAAAATTTTTTGGGTTGGGGGTTTTCTTTACAAATTTTTAAATTTGGGGACCAATTAGCTTCCCCCAAAATAAAGTTCCCTAACTTTAACCCTAAAAAAAACAAATTTTTGGTTAGGATGCTTTTCAAATTGGAAATTTTTTTTTCCCGGTGGGCTTTCCCAAAAAAGTCGTCGATGCTATTTTATTTTTTGTAGAAAGAAACCCCAAAAATTGCATTTCCTTGTTGCTTCTTTCCCAGTAACAGATGCTTTTCCTTTTTTATTAGACAGGGGGTTTTAATTTTTTTCTTAGGGTGTTTTGAACCAGGCATGTTTTTAAGACGGGGTTTTCGGGGGCCCTGGGGTTGAAAAAACCGGGGCCCCCCTTTGAGTAAGTCTAGCGGGGGGAAAAAGGAGCCGGGGCCCCCCCAACGGATGAAAAACCCTGAAAGCAGTACAAAGAGGTTTGTTTCCCCTTTGCTCAGGGGACAAATTTTCTCCTTTTTTTTGAAAGATCGGGGGGGAGCCGGGATTTTGGGGAGGTTTCTGCCAATAAGCGGCAACCACTATTGGGGGGTCCCAAAAGTCTCTGTTTTTAGTTTCGGTAATGCCCCTTGAGAATTAAAAAAGGGTTTGGGGTCCTCCAAAGCCAAAAGGGTTGGGCCCTAAAAATTTCGTGCTGTGTTTACATTTGCCCCGGGGCCAGCAAAGGAGGCAAAGGAGACCCCAGGAAGCATCCATGTGGGCCAGTGAGGAGACCAGCAGCCCACTAATGAGGATGAAGAAGTGACTTCAGCAGATCACTCAGTTTGAACGCAAACCCCAAAAAGTCCTGAAGTCGAAGGGACGAGATGGGGAAGACCTGACGGGACCGGCTTGAAAAAAGGGGCATGAGTGAAGTCGCCTTTTTGGGTGAGAGGCTTGAAACGACCTATCATTTGTCACACCATCATCCCATCCAATGCTGCAGTTTGGGGCCTATTCTCATAGATAAAGATATCTTGAGGCCAAAGAGCCACCCTGTCAGTTTGGAAACTTTTAGAGTCGAGCCTAAGGCAACCACATCACAATCAAATGATGGGGAAAGGGCCCAGCCAGAGTAGAATCACCCCGTCACATTGAAATTTGGGTGATTTTATTTGTTCAATTAACTAGTATTTGATGCACCTTTATGGCTGTACGCTGGGGCAGCAATAATTGGCCTCAAAAATTTCATCTTAAGCTGTTTTTTAACTACTTTTTTGTGTTTATTGGGTTCAAAATCAAATTTAATTAAATCAAACAGAACCGAACAAATAAAATGAATGAAAACAGTAGTAAACTGGAATGATGAAAAAAAGGGATCAAATAAACTAAACCCAAACTGTTGGGTGCTATGGGACTTCATTCACGACAAGGTCCTTGTCGGTTGATGCGTTTTCATAAAATTAAACAATTGCTATTTTCGCCTAGCGGCATTGAATGATTTGACCTTTGGATTCTATATCTTATCGGAAGCTCTCCGGGGTTTTTCTAAAAACCCAATCTATCCATGTGAAAAAATTTGCTGTTTTGCATTTAGTGTTAGCTTCCCCAATTTTTTGGGTATTTAGCGGGTTTTTCATTGCGGAGAAATTTTTTAGTTAGCAGATTAGTGGTTAGCAAAGCTAACTTTTTGGTTAGCTGTGCCCACCACTGCCTACAGCCTGTTTTCTAGCACAACAAATGGCTACACTATCACTTTCTCCACCCTTTAAAAGCAGTACAAACAATATACCCACTTTTGTTTTCAGCCATGCAAATTTGCCTTTTTGCCACTTTTCTAGAGTAAATTTCAGTTCAGTGAACGTCGTTATGTACATTCGACTTTACATGACTCAGCAACGTCACTTATGTCATAATTTTTTAATTGTGTGCATTGTTCTTTAAAAAATATGACTTAAATGTGTTTTAGCGTTCTTTAAGGTTTAGCAATAGTTATATTCTTTCATGAGTTATTTATGCTAATTTACTGTGTTTGTCGTTATTTAAGGTTTTTTAAGGCATTTTTCCGTTTAGTGAAAAACCGGGTACGTCACAGCTTTTGGAACCCAATTTTAAAGACATAGGGCGGGTGTGGTTTTGTCTTCCACAGATTCTTATAACAGGAACAACTCAGGGTGAATAAAAAAAAAGTCGAGTCAAAAAAAATTTTTAACAATTTTTGAGGGATCCAGGTTGAAGAGCAAAAAAGGGGGGGTATTTTACAGGGGGCACAGTGAATTTTCACTGATCTTTTTCTCCCAGTGGTTAGCTAGGGTCTGGGTGAACCTGGTCATATAAAACAGCTAAGAAGAGAGAAAAAGGGTCAGGAGGAGGAATACCATGGAAAAAAATTGGTGGGAAGTCCCGACTGGGAGTTAGAAAGTTTGAAAAGGATTTACCTGGGAGGTTCCGGGGGTCAACGCCCCGGCCGGTCTGTGCCAGGGCCCCTGGTGGATCGAGCCGATCAACCAGGGTTATGCTGGCCGCACGCAAACCAAAGTACGAGCCACAGCCCGGTGGTCAGAACCGACTTTAGTGCTTTGTTTAGTGCCACTTGAAGACTGCCCCGGGGCTGTTGGGAATCTCCTATGTATGCTGGGAGGGGAGTTGAACATTCGGCCCCTGACACTTATGTATGGTTCTTAAAATGCTAGTTACACCCCCGCTTTTCATTGGGGGGAGTTGCATCGTCTGCCAAGTCTTTTGCTTTCGAGTGAGTGATTTTTGTGTGCAAGTTCAGTACTAGCCCCCCTAGGATTTTCCAGGGTAAAATCATGTATCTCTCCCGCCTTCGTTTTCCCGGGAAACGGTTTAGGAACCTCAAGCGCTCCCCAAAAAGAGGTTTTTATCTTTATGTGCAAACCTGAAGGTTCTCTTACATTTTTTAGTCACAATTTCACCTGCCCTTTAAAAGGTGCTGTTATGTCAGCAATATTCCCCCTAGTGAACAAGGACCTGAAGAGTGCATCATGGGTTGGCCTCCCATTTTTTAGGGTTTTCATTACCCTCCTGATTTTTTTAGCGATGTGATTGATACAAGTTTGGTCCCGAAGGTAATCCCCACATGATCATCCCCGGCTTTGACGTTGG